TTCGATCGGGTCCGTCGTCTCTCACTGTCGCTTCCCAGCTAATTTTCTTTGACGTTTCGGTACCTGTAACGGCGTAGCCCGACTCCATCCCGCGGTCAGTGTTCCCTCGCCAACGCTTCCCAGCGAAACCCTTTTCTCTCTTCGTTACCTGAGAAGGTATAACCCGACTTCATCCCGTTTCGTTCATCCGGTGTCTCGGAAGGAGTAAACATTTTAGTAGAGTTTGCATTAATAAGTAGCGTAAACAGATGGTCTCGCACCAGTCCAGAGAAAAATTCGAACACAGGTAAACATGGCTGAATCTTCGAAATTGGTTATGTCAAATAAGCGAGGTGGCAAGATGCTCATAATATGTTATTGCACGTTTTCTTTCCACAGACGTTTAAGCCGTAGTTTTCAATATTGACAGTGCTTTAAGAGGACAAACAAATGTGTGTTGAAAACCGGCAGAAGTGGATATACTATAATCGATCAATGTGATTCTGAGTCGAGCGCCGTAAGAGCGCCGTAAACGTAGAAATCAATCCTCATACTAGGGAGGGAAACAGAAAGGGATGGAGTCAGGCAATGCCTTTTGAGGAGGTTTTAGGAGGAGGCCTTAGGAAAAGTTGACCGCTGAGGCCGTTGGTACTCGTCGCAAATTTTGAATCATGCTTCTTTTCAAATAAAATCCGAAAGGGGTGCATCGGTGAGCTTTGATTTCCTTCGATATTGGAGGAAAGAAACAAACAGATTATATCGGGTACATGGGGGCGTGCGGGGTACAGTGCTCTCCTCCGTCAGCGGTCAACAGCTGCTTAAAAATGTTTAAAAACATATGAATATATAATATGTAATAGAATAAAACCAGCGCTGTCTAAAGATTTTGCGGCAATCTCCGCACTATAAGGCTATTTGGTCTAGAGGTTGTTTGAATTGCGTGGAACATAGAGCCACATTTTAGAAAAATCGGATCGCTATCTTCTTGTTCACAATAAGAGCTTGTTTTGTCTTCCCCAATTTTCTGAAGCTATTATAATAAATGAACTTCACATCTCTTTTTAACAGTCAATGTAGAGTGTTGTGTGAACAATTCTGAATCAACTCATACCCAAAATTTAATTCTAAAACGAACAATCAGTTTGTTGTATCTGGATTATTGAACTGGTTTGTCTTCTTTCTTTCATAGGTATTGAAATATTAAGATGGCATTTTAGTATAAAATATCACTATATCAACGCCACTAATAATAAAATTTAGAAATAATTAATAAACTAAAAAACTATTAAAAATATGTATGTTTGGAATACGCGCAAATCCTATGCCATTTCTGCGTGAATGCTATGCCATAATATGCCATTCAATCTACAAAGCTAACAATACATATAATATCCCGCAATTCGCCCCAACCGAAATTCTTTACCACAAAGTTTCGGATCTGCGTCATCAATCTCGAGTGTCAGGCAATAATCTTTCTCATCCATTCTCCTCCATTCTTTACCCAGGGGCAATGGCCAAATGTAAACCGGGTCTTACAGAATGACATGATATAAGAGTGAGAAATGCACATTATTTATATGACAGGCCATGGGAGCCATGTTGCTTAGATGAAAATGAACAAAATTGACTGTTCATGCAAATAAATTTGAAGCCAGTTCATTCACAATAACAACATTATGAATACTTCTAAATGACGAAATAAATTGGAAAGATGAACCTCACGTCATTGATCAAAGGAATAGTATCCCATCTAAATGATATCGACATCCGAGACACGACGATTTCTTAATTGACTCGGAGAGATAATTTGTTTACCGTAAAAAAGTATCTTCAGTACTCTAATTTTTCATGTTCCTAGAAATAAATAACATTCGTTTCCTACGCTAAAGACACTGAAACAATATTCTTAAAGCTGCAGAAATATGTACTAAATACTAATTACTCATGTATAACGTACGTTTAATAACCTCATATAAGTTGAGAATTCTGAGTTGGAAAACCTGGTAGAATACTCGACAAGTAGATAATTTGTCACAAATTGCCATGACTGGCGGGTTAGAGCTTAATATTGGATGCATCACATTTCTCAATAACATCTATTTCCCCTGATTCATTTTTAAAGCCACGTCTCTGACGTTTCCGTCAATTCGAGTCACGTGAGGTAAACTTGGGACCGTTTCACTAAAACAGAGTATGCCAAAGCTCCACTACGTCGCGTGATACTGTTCACAACACGTCTTGTCGTGTTTTTAACGCGAGTAAACTGAGGGTATTGATCCAAAACTGTCTTTCGTTTTCGTGGTACAAGTTTCATTGCCAGTACTCCCAGAGATGCCGGAAATACAGGTGGATGTCGGAGTATTACCCTAATAAAGGATTCTAGACCTCGCGCAATATTTCCTTCCCCAATCCATACTTACGGAAAAGCAATGGACTAACTGTCTATTCTTTTATGGCATTTTCTCTAATTTATTAAAGAAAAATCGCAGGCAGGCATTGGTGATACGAGAAGCACCGACCATCTTTTAGTTCTCCAAGACAGTATGTTTTTGAAGTAGGTTAACAGGAATAATACAACCGAATACAAAAGGTTAATGAACGGCTGATTAAAATTAATGAAAAGACTACATGAAGTGAATGAACCTTATAAAATGAATTTTCATTTGCTTATGTCAAATGAATGAATGAAATTCAGTAAATAAATTTCATTCATTCGTTCAATCACTCAGTGTCTTCTTGGGTATACTTCTGGCTCACATTCAGCCACGTGCCCATTGACCCACCGTCACCTTCAATGCCGAAGTAAATGATCCACATAAAATGAATGAAATTTCCATTTCTCCCTCTCGAATGAGTGAATGATGAATAACAGTTATTCAGTAAATGCATTTCACTGAGATTCCTCTTGGGAACATTTCTGTCTCACATTCAGACACGCCCCCATTCATCCACAGACGCCTCCAATGCCGAAGTAAATGATCCACATAAAAAGAATGAAATTTCCATGTGCCTCTTTCGAATGAGCGAATGAATGAATGAAATCCAGTAATTGAGTAAATTAATTTCATTCATTCGTTCAATCACTTAGTGTCCTCTTGGGTACACTTATAGTTCACATTCAGCCGCGTGCCCATTGACCCACCGTTGCCTTCAATGCCAAAGTAGATGAACCACATAAAATCAATGAAATTTCCTTCAGCCTCTTTCGAATGAGTGAATGAATAAATGAAATTCAGTAAATGAATTTCATTCAATCGTTCAATCAGCCAGGGTCCTTTCGGGTACACTTTTGGCTTACATTCAGTCGCGCTTCCATTGACCCACCGCCGCATCCAATGCCGAAGTAAATGAACCACATAAAATGAATGAAATTCTTTCGGATGAGTGATTGAATGAATGAATGAAATTCAGTCAATGAAATTGGCTCAGAGTCGTTTTGAGTACGCCTCCGGCTCCCATTCGGCCGCGCCCCCCATTGAACCATCTTCGCCTCCACCGCCGCCGCCGCCGCCGCCTCGTCCGCCGCGCGCAGTATCGCGTCTCGCGCTGCGTCTGCGGGCTGGCTGTGTTTGCGCGACGATTACGCGTCGCGCGGGCGCGCGCGCGCGTGCAGGCGGGCGAGCAGCGCGGACGCCGCTCCGCGCCTCGTTAGATAAGG